GATGTCGCGCACTTTAAGAACATAGTATCTAGCTGACAGGCGCGGGGGTTGGCGCGCACTTTTAGCACAGTATCTAATTGACAGGCAGGGCTGGGCGCGCAGTTTTAAAAACCTAGTCTAGCCGACCACAAAGAGAGGTTGACAGGCAGTCAGGCCTCAAAAATTTTGGCTGAACGAGCAATAGATACTAAAATGTGSAATCCTTTGTTGAAGTTCAACATAGCAAAGTAGAATTGAAACTTTTCTAGAATTACGTGTAGAAGGATTACCGCTCTGCAGACAGCAACCCGACAGAATACCAATCATTGTGGAGACTCAGATCCACACGTTTCCACGCATGATTGATTATGATCAGTGGCAATCATRCACGGGAGCCGCTGAAGGAGATGTACGACACGAGCAACGAAAGTGGATGATTTAAGCTCAACTATTAGGACAAATTGGAATTGCATTATATTGTGTAGCACATCAGTATTATTCATAGCGCAAGTGTAGTAGTACTGATGTAGAGAACTGTGCATATGTGCAGCAGATACAATGCCCCATACGTACTAGCTGTGACTTTCAGCATATAAGTGTATATAAAAACATTTACTGTACCCCCTTAGGATAATAAAACCAGCGGTTTGTATAATTCGCAAACGATGTAAGTAGTTGTTTTGTTTGTTTTTAGACTTCCCTCTCTAACAAATCTGCAAGTATGTATGAGCGGGTCTCCATATCCGAAATGACTCAGTATATAAGTGTTTAAGATATTGCAACATTTAAATCTCCACTACAAGAAAGACCTCATCATTGATTTTCTTGTCAATTTAAGGCAAAATGTATTCCCTTCTGTCATGTATTCATTCTGTCAGTACAAAAGTGGGGATGGTATCTTTGACTGCAAAAGCCTGTAATTAAGAAAACTGGTTAGAAAACATGGCTGCTCATGGCAAAGTCCTCACCATAGTTTTCTAATCAGTTCTCATAATTACAGGCTTTTGCAGTCAGTCAAAACAATCATTGTCGTTTTACGAATTAGACCTATTACTTGTCACATAACACTGTAAGTATGTACTTGCTCGTAGTAGGTGGGTCTACTCTGCCTATACATATCTGATCGTGCAACATTTTAACGCCAATGTAAAGCAAACACAATCAGAGTCGTGCCTCTTAACGTCAAAGTGTTCCCCATAGTAGAGTTACTATTCAAACCGGGTCCATGTTCATCAATCAAGGGAATAGTGATTAATGATATGCTAAGAATATATAACAAGCAAGCCCCGATTATGTGATTGTCAATTTTGCTTAATCAATGAGGCGAAGAACATGGATCCTGGAAGAACCCAGTAAGGACTCCCTGCTAGGGTGGGCAGGGACCGCAGTACCGTTAGCGGGAATTTCTTGTAGAGCGTATAGAGGAGCTAATTTTAATTGTGATTAATTAGCACAAATCCAGCAATATTTACAAAGAATTTATTTACAGTATCATGATTGAACAGCATCAGTATATTCTAAAATCACATCGCTTCCACTCTTTAGGTCTTCTGTATGGGTTAGCTGGTCTAAGGTTTGATCTACTGGCAGTACTCGTCCTGTTTGCAACTG